CCCCAAAACCCCAAAACCCCAAAACCCCAAAACCCCTTGTATCAAATCTGATTTAAGATTAAAGAGAATGAATTAACTTAATTAGCTTATTTCATGTATATCTAACTCCACCCATAAAGTTTCTTGGATCAGGTACCATACCATTTACTTCTGCGCCTGAAAAATCAAAGCCTGGGTTTTCCTCTTGAAACCTTTCTAATAATATACTTTTTTGCACCTCATTTTGAGTAAGCGGGTCAAGAGCGGCATGACCTTTGACAGCGCAAGACCATGTTTCTGCTTTATACATTTTTTGTAATTGAATGTGAAGCTCATCATCCTCAATCATCCAATATGATTCTGATGATTTGATTTGCCCTCCAAGATCTTCATTTAGAAAGGGAGGATTCCCTTTTATTCCAACATCAAGATGATTAGTTTTAAATTTTATCTCTAACTCGGGCAATTTCTCACCTGGCTGTAATTATTTTCTAAATTCTTCCTTATATTTTGGTATCAAAAACTTAGGAGGTTATATGTATATATGAACTTCATCAATTGTTTATTCCCTATAATATTTTTATATAAATTTGATTAGATAAAATATGTTGCTCACCATTCATAAATTGTTCTGTCTTGGTATTTATAAGCTTATCTTCCTTTGGCTTTGTCCTTTAATTCTTTTGGCATTTCCATTTTAAATTTAAATTCTAGAAATTATATAGAATGAATTTAAAGCAATTAGAATTATAAATTTACACTTAAAATATCAATTAATTTTATTAATAAAAGACTAAACTCAATGGCTGATAAAAATCAATAAAGAGATAGCAATCGAAAATAGTAAAAATAGAATGATCTTAAGAGAGTAAAATTATAAGAAAATCCACTTAACGCTCCAGAGCAGTTGATAACAGGTGATAGATGTTTTGAGCTTCAATATGATTTTAGTAAAGATTACTCTTTGCCTCAGTTAGTTGGAGCATTTTTCAAAGTCCATTCACTCTCTGATAGTGATTATTCTACACAAACTGCTATAAGAGATTACTTTCCAGTAATAACATCAGTTAAATAGCTTAATGAAGAAGAAGTAGAGATAAAAAGAAGCATAATATATAGAAAATTCTTTAATACATACCCTTATCCTGAAGAGACAATACTTATCAATAAAAAACACTTGAATACAAAACCATAGGACATCGTTCTTGAATCTTACACAGACTACGGCTTTAAGAAAGAGTTATCAAGAATATACGCCTATGGTTTCCTCTTAAAAAGATAATTCCTTGAATTAGATATGCATAAGAGTTTGAAAACAGTTAAGAATGTTTAGCTAATGAGTGATATCTATATGTATAAAAACCTTAAAGAATGTTTTGGAATGTTTAAAGTTCTCGATCCTAAATTGAAGCAAAAGATTAGTAAAGATAACTTACAAGATTTGAGACTCTCTGAATTCGCTGATTTAATTTGATATAACTTTTATATACCCATAAATTGCTCATTTTTTAGTCTAGGGGTTGAATGAAATATATAATTATTTAGAATTGCAGAATAATAATATAAGTAAAATGTAGAAATCTTTTGATAGCCCCAGCAAGCTGCTGAATCAATCGATCAAAGAAGAAGATTTAGAAAGTGTTATGTAAATAGTTAATCCTGATTGAATGTAGATAATTGCTAGAAGAACATTAGAAAACTTGTGTGAAAGAACAAAAATATGTTGGTAATTTAACTTAATATCTTTTGATTGCACATTCAATAACACTGTTTTACAGAAGCTGAAATGGCAAGAAACCGTATAAATGAACTAAGATAGAAAGATCAAACTAACAAGTGGAATTAACTCTTACAGCACTAGGAGAATGAAAGATAGGAAGTTGAATAGTCCCATATAATTGAGTATTAGCAGTTCAATAAGGTATGGGATGATAAAACAATTAAGTTAATGTAAGATCATGAGAAATTATTACATGATCTTGAGATTCAATAAGTCAGATAACTTGAAGAGAATAGATAGAAGTTGGAATAAGAACTTCCAACACAGATTAAAGCTACTTCTGAATTGCTTAACATGAGACAAATACAAGTAAATTTGGGTACTTAAGGAGAGTAAGTTCGTTATTAGCTGTTTTATAATGCTTTCTATAGTTATCAAGGTGCTCACTAAATGTAAATAAGAGTGCAGAAGCGAGAGCAAGAAGAGTAAGAAGCTCATATGATTGAAAGATAGAAAAAGATAACTGCTCTTGAAGCTACCTTGATAAATAAACAGATGATTGAGATGGGAGGTCTTCAGAAAAAAGTTGACTCATAAGCGACTGAGAATTAAAGGCAAAGAGAAATTGAGTAGAACAAGCTTTTGCAGAGATACTAAAACCTGAGGAAAGAACTTGACAACTAGCAAAATTTAGAGAGAATTAGAGTTGAGAAGCTCCTAAAAGGATCGCCTAATAAAAGTAAAATGTCCACGATGAGTGCTTCGCCATCAAAAAAATCAATGAATGCATCAAGGATGTCAGCTCCTGGCAGCAGAAGGTGATACCTCAAGCTACATATATAAGACATTATGAAATAAGAGTGGTTTATTAATTAATCAGAATATTTATCACATGATTTTTGTCGATTATAAGTCGCGGGGTTTTGGGGTTTTGGGGTTTTGGGG